GTTGAGGAAAGAGCAAAAAGGGCACCTTGTATAGCCATCATCAGAGTTCCGAGCCCGAGCCCATGATGGGGTCCTCCTTGATCTCATTGAATGAGCAACTGCAGGTTCATCATGGATGGATGAACCCTTAGATAGGCCACCGTGGAAAGTTGGATTGGGCTCATTCATACAAGGGTAATCGTCTTTAGATAGTTGTCCCTTACTAAGTTTTTCAACAAGATCCTGAAAATGACAAAGCATGTGCTTTAGCAATCCAGGTTTTTTTTTTCCACCCAGCTAGAGATTCAGTCTTTCCAAACAGTTCTTGGTTTTGCGACACAAAGTTACACCATGAGCTTTATATTTACCTCTATTATGGGGTAAAAGCGAGACAATTGCCATGTTTCTTGCTCATCACTACGGTCTTTCCTAGCTGCGCGCTTCTTCTGGCATATTCAATGGGCAAAGTGGAAAAGAAAGTTAGCAATATAAAATCAACTATCAGAAGCTGAATTCAAATAGCAAAATATGTACCTTACGAATATCAAACTTCAGAGAGAGTGATCCAGTTGAACTTTTTTTGGTTTCAGATGATGCCCTAAGCAATCTCATATTACTTACAGCATTCATATCATCGGGTTGTAGTTTTGCTAGCTGAAAGGAATTAAACCAATTAAGTTGGATAGCTGTAATTGACAAACTACTAACTTCTTTAACTCAAAAAGGTATAAGGTAAGGGTGTTTTTAATTATTATTATTATTACTTTTTTTTTTCTTTTTTCTTTTTTTTTGTGAGGATGGAGATGGGGAGGTAAAGACAAAAGGAAGAGGGCAGTGGCCAACCTTCATTAAATTCAGACCCTTTACACCCTCAAACTTCTCAGGATAAATGGTAGCAAGGATCATCAACAAGCGCAAGTTATTTTCACGGCTTGCATCCTGTAGAGCAGTGATAGTAATATTTTATAAGATGCATTAACAGAGCATAAAACATACATTTATATTATCCAAAGATCACACCTCTCTTGTTGTCAAAAACTTAATCACATCCTTTATTCCAGCGTCACCAAAAACAAGGTCTTGCTCCAGTTGCCCAAAGTCTCGAAGCCCTAGGTCTCTAATAAGTTTGTTGATTTTTCCTGCAATCTGCAGTGACAAATCATAATTTGCATGAAGCATGAATCCTGTGGAAATGGAAATAATTGAATCAGCTATATTTCCTTTGTCAATTATTTGGTTACAGAAGCTGACAATATCTGCTCTTTTTTTTTTTTTTGACCAAACAAGAACTGCTATGCTTAAAAACTTAAATTGAGAATGATAAAATGTAAGGGATGAAAGAATATTAGCTAAAAAATCAATTTCATTATCAAAGAGATTGTGATCCTCTGAAAAAAAAGGCCAATTATGGAAATCATTCAGGATGGTTCCCCATGACTTTATTGACATAAAAAAGGAACCGTTGAAACTTTCAATATATACGAAACAAAGTAATAAATGACATGAGAACAAGCTAAAAACAAGATGAGCATTTACCAACAATTCAAACCAGTGTTAGAGACAGAGATAAGCACAGAGTCTCACTTGAGTTTAAACAACAAGATGACCATTTCAAGACATAAGTGAGACTACAGAACAATATTTTAGTACCATCAGACAGATTACACCTAGAAATTATGACATATAAACTGCTTAGAAAACAACCTGATGAAGGATAATATCAATCTCTCTTTTTTCTTTTTTTCTTTTTTTGAATTTATTACTGATGAAGAGATCTGATAGAGAACATTGATTATGGAATTATATATTTATGCACAACTTTAAAATGCTTCCTGTGGTGCAGCAGCTGGTGAGCAGGTTATTGACCACATTGGAAGCTTCATCAAAAGAACAGTAAAGCAGTCATAAAACGAAGAGATGTGAACAACAACTGAGCTAGGGACAGAGGATGAGGTCTTTTTGACCAAGGAAATAAGGATCTAGCAAACTGTATTTTCCACTGCAGATGCCTGAATAAAAAAAAAGTATAGTTATCAAATAAAATACTAACATCCACATGGAGGGAGATCTTGTCAATTTGCTCACTGTATTGGGGCAAAGCTTGAACCATCTTTTGCAACTCCCGTGTAGAGAGTTCACTTGCATCTCTATATAACAAGAATACTTTCCAGTTAGAAAAACTACCAAGATAATAACTAATGACCTGGAGCAAATAACTAATGACCCGGAGACATTTGCTCCATGACCAGAAAATCAAGTCTAATGGACACTAAGACCTTGGAAGTTGATTGGTGAAAACAATATTGCAAAAAATTAAAGGCATGAATGAAGCACAAGCAACACACCACGTGTCACTGACTCAATATTGCAGCTATTAATTTCATTGTTATTAAAAATTGTCTTGGAAACGTTACCAAGTTTCTAAAACTAGCATACACCAATTTCCAATTAATCAAATATAGCCTCTGTCCTATTTAGCTACCCATATAACTAATTCTGTATGTAACTTTAGGTAATGCTTATATATAGCATATGAATGACCAACCTTGAACCATGTTGAATTTGTGCAGCTTTATTCTTTGTTACAAAATTGGTCATTTTCTGATGCAAGCGCTCACTAGCCTGACCAGAACCCCAAGGATCAAATGGAATTCAACATTGCACCTAAATAAAGCATGAGACTAGAAGAACCATACGTACATCAGCTATATGTGCATGGCGAAGCTCAAACCAAACAGGATCATGTTCTTCCAAAAGGACCTCTTTTCTCTCAGGCTTGCCTTCTTTGTTTGGGACCTGAAAAGGACAATTCGTTGATATGCAGAATCCAACCAAAAATCCAAAATGAATATATTTAGAATTTGAATTACTAGAACTTACCTCATAGACATATTTGTTCCCCTCCATGTTCAGTAAATCATGGCACATGGCATCATAAGTCCACTCATGTATGACAGGAGCTATCTAAACATGCAAATTAAGCACATTTAAAATAAGCAGTTGAGAAGTAAGCATGTCACAAATTTGATGATGTATATACATCCATAAACCTGATCAATTGATCTGTCAAGGATAAGGAACTCGCATGTTTCCCTCTCTGGGAAGGCTTTAATTGTTTGTTTATACTTTGTGAGGCAATTCCAGACTCCAGCTGCAAGTTTCGTAGGAATGAGGTCACGAAAAGTTGTCATTGTCATTGGATCCAGTGACCTAGCAGCCCGGTAGCGCACATAAGGAAACTCCTGAGAATTAAACACATCTCTGAACAGTTTTGATACATTTGAGAATCAAATATAAAAATCATTGCATATACCTTTAGTGAAGCAAAAACTGTAGCAATGCGGGTAGCCATCACATTTAAACACGCATCACCTCTCCCATTATTTTCCTCACCACCAAAAAGTACTTCAAGAGCCTTCTCATTATCAGTGACAAAACCCTGTGGTGCAAAAATTCACAATAGATCATAACAATACTTCAGTAACTTATTGCAATCAGTTGAAAAAACACATTCCTGTATTTTGGGGAACTGCAGAAATTGACATTGTATAGAATATGAAATTTAAGAGGCAAGAAGATTTGCCATATGCTGAATGGCACATACAGCATCAGAAAATTAATTGATTTTCTACAATTTTATTTTAAATTAAATAAAAAGAAAAAAGAAAAAAGAAAAAGAAAAAAGAAATTCACATGTCTCCATTATCCATGCAAGGTGTTAGATCCAGTGCAAAATCATATACCTGGCTTTCTATTGCAAAGTACTCCAAATTCATCTGCATGTTCAACCACAAATGATTAAAAACATGACTATGTACTAACAACTCATCAATTGATCAAGACAGGAGTAAAAAGAAGCAGCTAATTGACAGAACATAAATTGCTTCAGCTAAGCCATATAGCAAGAAAATTTACCTCTCTCAGGGCAGCAATTCGAGGTAAGACAGTTGACTCCTTCTTGATGAGAGCAACTAATTCTTTCGAAACAGGTGAACTGAAGAAGACATATGCTCTTCAAAAACCAAAGTAAAAAAAAAATATGTATATCAGAAATCGTAAGACACTCAAACTTTGAGAACATATGATCATAAAAGGCAACATATTGACTACAAAAATAATTGACATACTTTTTATATAAGGGTGTCCTTCCAGACATGTCAGACAAAAACATAACAACACTGCAAAATAAAAATAAATAGATGTAAGTAAAGAAATATAGTGCAAGAAAAAGAAGATTACTGTGTGTGGCAGCACATGTTACTTCAATGACTCCAATCAGAATTATTAACTGCACAACTTGAACAACTAAGGGTATGAGTCCTCACAAAAAAAGGGAAATTAAGTATGAAATGTTATAAAAGACAAGGAGAGATATGAGATTCAGACAAAACATGCAATCTTAGTTATTGTTGGGGTATGTCAGAAAAACTGAAAAATCCCAAAAATATTGAAGCATCACAAAAATTGGCATCAAAACTATAGCCTATGCTCTCATTCACTGCCTATACAAACAAATTTCTAAGCTCCAGTCATTGTGACATAACCATAGATGACAATGATGCAAGATGAAAACAATATGCACAATCATAACCCAGGCCCCATAATGGTTATAGACAAAATAAAAAAAATATATGAACAGTTATAAAGACTTCCATTCATTGATGCAAAATTAAGTGCAACAAAGGAAAAGTAAAAGCAGAAAGAAAAGGTTAACTTAAGATTCCACATAAGAGAATAAGGCCCAACAAAATAAGTAAATAAATAAATACAGATACATACACACACACACAAAAATGAATGCACCTATAATGCATGCATACTTGCTTAAATAATCACTTTGATAAATAACTATTGACAAAGATATTTTACTTCTCCTTGGTTGGTTGGATAAAGTAAATAGCTTCCATTGAGGGCAATGGCTGCCGACGTCTGTATATGTCTTCTACCACTGCAGGACAGAACATAAATTAATGAACTTCTTGGGAGCAGGGGGTTGGAAGTGGGGGAAGGTAACATGGAGATCCTAAATGTGGCATATGCAGCTTAGTCATTGATTCATTATATACTCTTTATTACAATTTTTATGCACAAAGAGCCTATGAAAGTGTAATAGACCATTCAGAAACTTAACAGGGATTCCAAATTTCCGCTTGTGAAGAATGCCAATGATATTCCCCAATGATTTCACATAATTATTTTCCACAATGAACATAAAAATAGAGCAGTCCCTCCATATATCATAAAACCAGTAAAGACATTCTCTGTACACATCCCAAGAATGTAATTCCAAACCATTATCTAAACTGAATTCAAAATTTTCATAGATTGTCTTACATGAGACTCCTTCTCCTGTGATGTCAGCCATCTTGCAGGCAGAGGACATTATCTTAACTGTTAGCTTGTCCATGATGAGTACCTACACAAGTGATTCAGGAATCAACAAACACAGGATATGACATTCTAGCAACTGACAAATAATATTAAAAGAATAGAATCTACCCAATTCACAAAAGAGATCACGACACAAGCTGAACATACCTTCCAGGTTAATTTTGAGTCCCCTCTTTTTGTAGACTTAAGCATCTCATTCAATATTCCTAAACGTGCATCCAATTAATAATAATAATAATAGGTGAACATGGCCTTGCTTAATCAATAACAGAAGTAATTAAAGACACAAAAATAATAAATAACTATGGTAAGAATAAAATTAACAAATTCCTAAACTCTGAGTTTTTAACAAGAAAAAGAAAGGAGCTTCACAGAATTATAGAATATTGCATCTGAAGGTTAAAAAAACAGTTTATTTAACCAAGAATGGAAAAGTGACCGAAGAGCCAAAGACTTATTATAGTCAGAGGAGATTAGGGGTTCATTTCTCAGCCACCACGGATGTAAAGACTAAATCTATGACCTTTTAGATGGCAAGAGTTCATTTCTCATACATAAATGATGTTAAGACCAAATCCTTTAGATTGCTTTTACTCTCTACTTTCCTGACTGACCAACCATAACATTAGCTAAAGAATGTCTATGACAGACCTTCATTTAATTCAGCCAAAAATCACCAATAACATAAGCTAATCAAGCATCTTTCATCACAAAAATCAGATAATAAAAGAGAGAGAGAGAACGAAGGCAGAATGAAAACAGAACTTTCAGCATCAATCCGAATGAAGAAGAATCAACAACTATTCATTCAAATAGGTCCACAACTGCATAAAAAAAGTTTTATGATTCGGAAACAACACTAATTAAGATGATGAAAAACACCAATATGAATATATATAAAATTTCATCATAAGTTCATAATCCAGATTGCATGCAAATGCCTGGCATTATACTACAAAGTTTCGACAATGCTGACTCAAATAAACAACTACGATACCGGCCGGCGAAATCGATGATCAGAGAAACGATTAGATGAAAGTAATCCAGCTAACGAGAATCGAGAATGGAGTATCGGAACAAGAAGATATAGAAACGAAACTCACTTTCACGAGTGATTTGTTTGAAATACTTGTACTCGCCGGCACCGGACGACGACTCAGAATCTGAGTAATACATGTTGAATCAATCTCCGAGTTCGGGATCCAAAACCGATCGAGAATCAGAGAGAGAGAAAGATCGTGGAGTGATTGGAGTAAAGACGCACGTTACGGTTATAGGAAAGAGGGAGGAATAGGAAAAACCGAAGTTTTGTACTATAGTTTTTTTTTTTTTTTTTTTTTTT